CGCCATAGGACACATGTTCTTGCAGAGAAAGACAGAGAGAAATGGAGAGGGAGAAAGCATCCCTCTATGGAGTGTAATCACACCATAATACCTTCATTTCTCCATCCTGTCAGGATTTGGGGCACACATGCATGTACACCTGGGATGTTTTTCAAGCCTCCGGAGTTGGAACCCAAACAAATCATTGATCACATGGGATCCAGCTACTTTAACTACTAGGCCCCAGTGCTAGCCTGAAATGCAATTTCTGTTTTTAGAAATTTTTACTTTCTTACTTTCTATTGTACATTAGTCATTAAATTGGTAAAATTTCCCTTAGGTCCAAATAGTCTAACTACTGATTTTTCAAATAAATGTTTAATAGGGAGAAAGAGTACCATCTGGAGGCCCCTGGTGTGATCAAATCTACCATGTTAATGATAGTGAAAAATATCAACATCACCAGTCATTTTCTATGACTAAGGAAGTTCTATACAACCAATTCAGACATTGAGGTCAGAGGATACAGGCTCTAATGCTAAGATAAACCAATGGGAGCTGGGCAATGCTTTGGCAAACATGATGCTGTACTGAGGTTGACCTAAAGGGGAAGATTCTCCATTCTCATGTTCTCATTCAAAGACCTCCCTGAGTTCGCCAGGCATGAAAGTGTCCTTGATTTGGGACTTCCTAAAGCTAGGTTTGACCATGGTGTTGAGATCCTTTGTGGGTATTGTCTCTCTTCATTTCTCTTGCTCATGAAAAACAGAAAAAATAAACAAGCAAAGAAAGAAACCTGTCCTTGAACCAAAATATACATCAGGTGCTGTTAGGGAATCTTGGTACCAATCCCAATTGCTCTCTGCTGTCTGCCTCCTTTTATCCCCATTATTTCTTTTCTTTTCTTTTCTTTTTCTTTTCTTTTTTTTTTTTTAGAGGTTTCTTGCTATAGGGCATATGCACTCACCAAACGGACAGAGAGAGAGAGACAGAAAGCGAGAAATCACCCCCGGGGTGGGGGGATGACCATGCCGCAATCCCTTCTCCTCCATTCTCCTCTCGGGATCTTGAGCACACATGCACACGTGCCTGGAGTGAGTTTTAAGCTACCAGGTCCAGGATGTGAACCCCAGTCGACTACATGGGAGTCCAGCGACATAGCCACTACACTAACTGCTGGTCCCTTCCCCATAATTTCTAGAACAAAGGAATCAATGGTGGCCAGGTTTATAAAAAGTCTCTTAACTACCAGTGACTTGTATTCATTTTGTATTATTAACAGTTTGATTCTTAGACTGTGAGTACATTAACCCTAAAACTGGGTAAACTAAGTCTTTTTTTATCAGATTCTAACAAAATTCAGATGTATTATCAACCGTTTGGAAAAGGAAATACTTCTTTTAACTTTTTAAAAGAATTATTTCTTTAATTTTATTTATAATTATTATTTTAAATTTGGCCAGAGAGAGACAGAGGGAGAGAGTGAGAGAAAGCAGGAAAGCAACCCATGAGGTTTGGGACTTGAACCATGGTTGGCCATGTGGCAGTCCAATGCCTCAACCGCCATGCCATCTGCTGGACCCACTTCTTCTAACTTTTAATAAAATTTATATTTAATAAAAATAAGATTCTCGGGACTAGCAGTTAGCGTAATGGCTATGTCGCTGGACTCCCACGTAGTTGACCGCCGTTAGAGTCCTGGACCCGGTGGCTTAAACTCACGCCGGGTGCGTGTGCGTGCGTGCCCAAGATCCTGAGAGGAGAATGGAGGAGAAGGGATTGTGGTATGGTCATTCCCTCTGGGGGGCGATTTCTCGCTTTCTGTCTCTATGTCTCTCTCTGTCTGTCTGGCGAGTACATGTGCCCTATAGTTAAAAAAAACAAACAAAAAAACCCAAAACTCTCCAAAAAATAAAAAAGATTCTGAAAAAAATATTTTATATTTTTAAGTAGTTCACATATAATAGTTTCAAAAAATGAAATTAAAATAATTTCACAACTAATTATGAAATGTCTGACTGGAAAACTAACGTGTATTGTACACCTTCTACATACCAATAACTCACCTATTTTACCTTATCTGTTTGCATGTATTACTAATACCTTTTACAGTTGACAGAGTTAGAGCTAAACAATTTAAACTCAAGCTTGGAATTTGAAGCATGGCTTCCCTGATTTTAAAACTTATGTTATTTTATTTTTCTTTATATGATACTATTTGTGCCTGAAAACTGTCTTCTCATTTCTGGTGTCCATTATTGCACTTAATTTATTTAACTATGAACTCCTAATTGTTTTTGTTTTTTTCTTCATTTGTCTCCTTATGACATGGTAAGTGTATTGGAGAGTGGAAGAGAGAGGGATAAAAGAGAAAGAATGGTTAAGTTTTTAGCAATATTAATCCATAAAAATATTGAAAATAGAGGAATATGTAATAGCAGAAATTCAAACGCTATTTACATTTAATTTCCCTTTGTATTACAGGACAAACACCAAAACCTGAGCCAACACCAGGTCCTCAAGACAGTAGGTGTTTTCTTATTTTCTGGTTTCTCTGTTGATAGCCTATTTACCCCCACTTTTCTTTCTCATTGGCAAATTCATTACCCTAAGAAGGTGGTGAGTAGTAATGCTTAAGATCTTTGAGAATCTCATGAAAGTTTGGATCTTTCTCTCCAAAGAGAAGTTCATCTGCACAACTAAGATATGTTCCTGGATTTCTCAAGAGTCCTTGAATCAAACCCATAGTCCCTGGTTTCTTCTTCTTTAGCAGATGCCTTAGATTCCAATGGCAGCTCTAACGAGGTACCATGAACTCAGTGGCATAAAACAATATACATTTATTCCCTTATAGATCTAGAGGCCAGAAATTTAAAATCAGTTTCATTGGGCCAAAATTCAGGCATTGGCAGAAATAAAATTTCATTGGTAGTCTCCTCATGAGGCTCTAAAGGAGACTCCATTTCCTTGTCTTCACCAGTTTCTAGAGTTGCATACTTCATGTTTATTGGTTCATGGCTCCATCCTCCACCTTCAAAACCATCAATAAAACATCTTGCTTCTTATATCGTCAAATCTCTCTCCCCGTCTTGCTCCATTACGACACTTGTGATTACATTTAGGACCCAACCAGATGATCCAGGGTAACCTCTCTCTCAGTACATCCCTACCTTTATCACATCTTAGTTTGATCACCTCTACAAAATCCTTTCTCTGAGTGAGATTATACTACAAATTCCAGGGATTAGACCTGAGTTATCTTTGGGAGCCCTATTCAGCCTACCATAGCACAGAACCATAGACTCATATGGCTTGAAAGAAAAAAAAAAAAAAGCCTTAGGAACCTGTCTGGTAATGTGAATTCCTTGGTTCTCCAGTTCTCTTCTACAACCCCCAAGTTCCTCTGTTGGAAGTTCTTTCTTAAATCAGAATAAAATTTCCCACTCTTTGGATATAGAATACGCTTTGTCCGTGTGTGTAAATTCCTCCTGACGTGCCACCCTATTGATGAACATAGCACTGGAAGTTGTTTTACTCAATCATGACATATGAAATTTAGTTGGGAAGAGAATATAGCTAGTTTTCATAGGGTTGGTAAGAAGGGGATATTTGGCCTCAGATATTTCAGCCTGCATTTGACACATTCTATGTATTCTGGGCTCTCAGATTGATAGATACTTCTCATATAGCTGCTATATCTTTTAACTTTTCTGAACCATATTTACCAGATTCTTGAGTTTAACCAAGTAAAATTTGCCACCTTTTCTCATTAATTTTTCAGATCCACCAGTCACAGAAGATGGGTGGGTTATTTATAAAGACTACCAGTATTACTTTAGCAAAGAGAAGGAAACTATGGACAATGCACGAGCATTTTGCAAGAAGAATTTTGGCGATCTTGTTTCTATTCAGAGTGAAAGTGAAAAGAAGTTTCTATGGAAATATGTAAGAATATTTTAAATTTAAGAATGGAACAGTGACATGTGATAAACAAAGATGGTGTTTATAATTGGTACTCCATGGCACAAATTCTCATTATGTGCTGAATTTGAACAACCTAAGGTTGGGGCTAAAGACAAAGATACTGGAGGAAGAGTCCATAATAGAAGCTTTGCCTGAGGGTCAGCTTTGTGGCCCTGTGGTTAAAGAGCTGAATCCCACATGGCCGAGTGCACAGTTTGAGTCTCAGCACTGGCAACTTGAGAAACATACTGGGTGCATGTGCATGCATGCCCTAAATCCAGAAAGAAGAAAGAGACAGAAGAGAGGGATTACAGAGTAACCATTCCCCATGAGAAGTGCTTTCTCCTTTCCCTCTCTCTGTTTCTCTCTGGTGAGTGCTTATGCACTCCAGGAAAAAAAAAAATTATGCCATATTATTTGTATACTCAGTGCAGAATTACAGATTCTAGGAACAATTTTTAGTCTGGGCTTTGTAAAGATCCATGCTTGATGGCTTTGAGTTCAGTAGTTTTATTTATATATATAGACACATGAGAGGGAAGATGAAAATCACCCTCCCCCTTCAGGGGGATGGCCACACCACAACCCCTTTTCTGCCATTCTCCTCCCAGGATCTTGAGCACTCACATACAGCCAGTGTGATTTTCTTTCTGTTTTTTAAAATTTATAGATTATTATTATTATTATTTTATACATTTGATGGCTTTACATAATTTGGCTTGTAAAGAGAATTTAGCCAATGTGAAATACACCCCCAGACCAGTCTAGTTGAGAATACTATGAACATTACCATCAATAGGTAATACCCATTACTATGTCCCACAAATGTCTGGCCTCTCTATTTTTTCCCTATCAAAGATTATCATTTTAACTAGCTGTTATAGAAGAATCCTGAACTCTGTGTGTATTATACAGCTAGATTGTTAATTTAAAAAAAAATCTGTCTTAGTTGGACCACATTGTTGCCTCACAGATATAACAGTTTGATTATTCATATAAAAAATCTTTCTTGTTTGTACCCAAGTGGTCAGCTAACAATGAAAATGTAAGTCTTTTTTTTTTTTTTTTAACCAAGAGTGCTTGGTTCAATATCTTTCTGTTTCAAAATAATCTTAAAGGCATCTTTGTAGATTTCCAGAGAGGAGATAAGAAGAAAAGCAGTAAAAAACCAAGATGAGCAGTACTGAAAGAATAAGACTTCATTTGATTACAAAGGCCCTAGAGTGTAGTTTGATTACCATCATCTTTGGAGATAAAATTTGCTTTGAAATACTGAGGATATTTCTAATATTGTGAGTGTGTGTGTGTATACATACATATATAGAAGTGTGTGTGTATATATATATACAGTATTTATAGAAGTGTATATATTATATATCGTGTGTATTATATATATATATATATATACACATACATACACAAAATATTATATATAGAAGTTTTTCTTAGGGAACCAGCAGTTAGCGTAATGGCTATGTCGCTGGACTCCCACGTAGTCGACCGCGGTTCGCGTCCCGGACCTGGTGGCTTAAAACTCACGCCGGGCGCGTGTGCATGCGTGCCCTAGATCCCGAGAGGAGAATGGAGGAGAAGGGATTGCGGCGTGACCATCCCCCCTGGGGGGTGATTTCTCGCTTTCTGTCTCTATGTCTCTCTCTGTCTGTCTGGCGAGCACACGCGCCCTATAGCGAAAAAAATAAATAAATAAAAAAACCTCTCAAAAAAAAAAAAATTCAAGAAAGAAGTTTTACTTAGATGCATAATCCCAGTTGGCAACTTTGTTTTAAGGAATATCTTTAATAACTTAATTATTATAGGCAGTTGATATTATAGAGAATGACTTAAGATATTTGATTTTATAAATGCGAGTTGTTAACTATATGTGTAGTTTTCTATTTCTATGAAAAGCTTGACTTAGAATATACAAACGCATGTGTGAGTGAATTCTTCTTTAGAAAAGGTTCCAAGTAGACTGCTTCATTCCTACATAGGTTTTGTTTAAGAACTTGCTTATTGTGATTACATGCTGAAATCTATGTAAACTTCCATGTTTTAGGTAAATAAGAATGATGCACATTCAGCATACTTTATTGGCTTATTGATCAGCTTGGATAAAAAATTTGCGTAAGTAAACCAAGATAAAGAACTTTGGTTAGCTGAGCAATTTGATAAATACCCATGGGTTATTTGGAGATTCTTGTGCTGAATGCATTTTGAAGGTATTCTACAGCATGCTCAACCTAAAAATCATCTTTAAAGAAATTAAATAATCTTATTAAATATTTTCAACATCAGAATTCTCAAATAAACAACTCAAAAGAATGATTGTCTTGTTTTCCATAGCTAGAAGCGCCAGAGAAAGCTGTGGGAGGGAGAATCATTAGTACCTTTGGGGTGTTCCTTTACTTGTTCAGTAATAGACTTGTTTTTCTGTGTTTGGACAGTGAATATGTCCTCCTAATTCAAGCATAGATGTCTCAGGCACATATATTCATGGAACTGTTGTCCTTTTAGCAGTAGAAACCTAAACTTATTCTTTTTATGGGACAGAAATGTTTGATGTTCCTTTGTAAAGGCACCTGTTCTATCATTGCTAAGATGAGAGGGTCAAATTCAATGATTTTCTAGTTCTTTCCCAGCTCTACAGTCTCTGAATTTCTATAATTTATAAGAAGATGCACTACCTTTCAAGAAGCCAGAGTAAATGTGAGAATCAGAGAATGGATCTAATGAAAAATTCTATATGCTCTGCCTCTCTGTGGGTAGTTTTGTTTTGTGGGAATCATGCCCAGGAAGTGCTATAGGAGGATTTTTGTTTCTAGCCCATTTATTATTATTATTTTTTTTGAGAAATTGGGATTTGTGCTAATTCTCCCCCTGCAGGACTAAAGGTAATTTCTTCCAGGGAGGGAAAAAGCAACAGACTAGCCAAGGCAGTAGGATTGCTGCAGAGAAACACAAAGTTGAGAGTCCCAGCAAGTATCTAGGCATCTGGTTTTCTGCCTTTCCTTGTAGGTCTCCCTCCTGTAGACTGACTTGCCTTTGTTCCCCACTAGGCTAAAGTTGATTCTAATGATTGGGTTATTGCACAATACCTCATTTTTTTGTTTGTTTGTTTTTGTTTTCTAGTTGGATGGATGGAAGCAAAGTGGACTATGTGTCGTGGGCCACAGGAGAACCCAATTTTGCAAATGATGATGAAAACTGTGTAACTATGTACTCAAATTCAGGTAGACAATAATCACGCTTCCTTAAATTTGCTGTGTACAATAATGTGTCATTTCGTACATCCCCTAGGCTAAAAGTAGCAAGCTTTACACTCAATAAGATAAGAGAGAATAGAGGAGAATTCTAATTTTAGCAGTATAACCATTCAATTTGTATGGAGAATGGATGCTTATCATTTCACTAATAATTGACAGAGTTGATCTCACTTCTCAAAATATGAAGCAGTTTTTCATGTTATAATTTCAGAAAAATGTTCAGGATATGCTTATCTATCTCTTTTAACTGTCTCTTCAGCTTTTTATTATTCCATAAAATTGGAATAGTGACAGAATTTATCTTGTTGAGAAGATTAAATGAGATAACACATCTAAAGCACTAAGCAGATGCTTGGCATGTATATTGGTTAGGCATTGTTAAATTGCTATCATTCCTTACTTATTGTTTAGATAGTATCTTGCAAAACCAAATACATGCTGGGTTCATAAGAAAGTCTTTAAAGTTGAACTTTGTTAAAGTGAAAAAACAAAAAGCAAAGATCCTTCTGGTCACTTGTATATAATCAGTTTGACAGTAGTCTAAACCATTTTTTAAAAAACTTATAAAATATAAATGCATTTAAGGGCCCCCAGATAGTAGTGCTTAAGGCAGCTAGATCTCACATGGCCAACTGAAAGGTTCCAATCCCCAGTCTGGTGGATTGGAATACACACTGGGTACAAGTGTGGGTGTGTTTGCCAAAATCCCAAGAGGAAAATGAAGGAGAGGGGATCTCATTGTGGTCATTCCTCCCACTCCCTGAGCAGGAGAGTGGTGTGGTTTTCCACCTTTTCTCTCTCTCTCCCTTTCTGTCATTCTCTAAGAGCACATGTTCCCTATAGCAAAAAACAAAACAAAAAAATCCTTAAAAAAAATGCTTGGGCCAGTCATGTGGCATGGTGATAAAGGCAGCTGAATTCTACATGGCTGAGTAAACAGTCCAAGTCCTGGACCTAGTACCTTGGAAAATACATCGTGTTTTTGTGTATATCTGTCCAAAATCCCAAGAGGAGGATGGAAGAGAGGGCATTGCTGTATGTCCATTTCCCCTAAGGGTGATTTCTCACTTTCCTTCTCTCTCTTTCTCTTTGTCTCTCTCTAGTCAGTACACACACCCTATAGCAAAAACTAAAAGAATTTAAAAAATAAAATAAATAAATGCATTAAAGAAAAAGCACTAAGTGTTCCAGCTGGGATAGCGCACACTGCTCAGATGCTGTGCTCCGCAGACTGAGACCATGCAGGAGGCCTGGGTTTGAGTCCTTGTCTCCTGGATACTAGGAGTGGTGGCATTTACCTTGTGTCTCAGAGAGTCTTAGGCAGGAAGATTGCAAGCTCTATGTTGTCGTGGGCAATTTAGTGAGGTCCTATCTGAAGAAGAGCTGGTTGTGGTGTTATGTACTTATAGTTCCAGTTAGGAAGGTGAAGTAGGAAGATTGTATCACAATGAGACCTTGTCTTTCAAAAAAAGGCTAGAAAAAAACAATAAAAGAGGGACCAGCAGTTGGCATAATGGCTATGTCTCTGGACTCTCATGTGGTCAACTGCAGTGTGAGTCCCGGACCCGGTGGCTTAAACTCACACCAGGTACGTGTGCATGCATGCCCAGCATCCCAAGAGGAGAATGGAGGAGAAGGGATTGCAGTGTGGCCATCCCCCTTGGGTGGTGATTTCCCGCTTTCTGTCTCTCAGTCCTTCTGTCTTTCTAGTGAGCGCATGCACCCTATAGCAAAAATCTCTCCTAATAAATGAATGAATAAATGAATGAATGGAGTGTTTTTAAACATATGCATGTAAATCTGAATGAACGATTTTGCTCTTTGCCAGGGTTTTGGAATGACATTAACTGTGGTTATCCAAACGGTTTTATTTGCCAACGACATAACAGCAGCATCAATGCCACAGCTATGCCTACCACACCTTCAGTCCAAGGCGGTTGTAAAGAAGGCTGGGATCTTTATAATCACAAGGTAAGAGAAGAATCTTGACAGATGGGGTCTTGACATTGATCAACATGGAAACTGACAATGTGAATTTCTCAAGTCCAAGTAAACTTCTGCCCTTCCCATCACACAGACAATTGTTGCCAAGCATAGGTAGAGATTTCCATAACAAATTGTCTATGGAAATGGGGAGCATACCTGAGATATTATTCAAATAGTTGAATTCTTTATCTCAAGGGAGAATAAAATTTTGCAAAGAAGTTTGTGGGTCACAAAACATAATTTTTTGACTTTACAAAATTTCTGTTTAAGAGACCAGCAGATGGCATAATAGTTACATCACTGGGCTCCCATGTAGTCAACTATGGTTTGAGTCTCAGATCCGGCAGCTTAAAACTCACCCTGGGCACATGTGCATGTGTGCCTAAAATACTTAGAGGAGAGTGGAGGAGAGGGGGTTGTGGTGTGGCCATTCCCTCCCGGGGGGTTGATTTTTCACTTTCTGTCTCTCTGCCTCTTTCTGCTCTTTGGCAAGTACACACGCTCTATAGCAAAAATCTCTCAAAAAAATTTCTATTTATGTGTGAGAAAATTTAGCTGTAATTTTCATGAATCATTTTGATTTCTTCAGAGTAAACTCTGTTATCTTTTGTTAACTCTGTGTTTTTTTTTTTTTTTTTCCATTCCATCCCAGTGCCTCAAAGTATTTGGATTTGTTGAAGAAGAAAGAAAAAGTTGGCAAGAGGCACGGAAAGCTTGCATAGGATTTGGAGGAAATCTGGTCTCCATACTGAATGAAAAAGAGCAAGGTTTGTAGGCCATTTTACAATCAATGATGCATTTGAATAAGTAATTTTGCTTATAAAATGGTAGAATACTACTAATAATTTTTTTTCAAAGTGAAAACCAGGAAGGGAAAATTTCAACACTTCTCAAGAACCCTTTTATTCAGCTGCAGGGCTTTTCACATAAAATCTCTGTGTATTATCATAACTTTATGAAGCAGGTGTTATTACCCCATTTTGTGAATGAGGACATGGTACAAAGAAGGAATTGGGTCAAGGAGCTAGACCATAAGCAGTGGAGTTGGGAATCAAAGCCAGAGGCCTGTCCAGCTGACATCCCACCCAGTTCCCACCAAATCAGTCTACTCCCCAAAGAGTCAAAGATGAATAGTTCTAAGAATAAAGTGAAAAATTGCTGATTTCCCATTTCAGCTCTTTTATTTGATTAAATAACTCATAATACAATAAAATAGATGCTTTAAATATGAACATGAACAAATGGAGAATTTTCTTTGGGGACAAAAATATAAGGATAATCCAGAGCTCTGAGGAAGAGTGCTAAAACAGAAAAATGACCATATCCATATAGTGGATTTTAAAACTCATCATATTGTTTTCAAAAGAATCCCCCTGCCACTTCTGCATGGTCTTTTGGGGGCCATCTTTGCTGAAGTTGGTATTAGTGACTTCTGCTTTAAGGGAGATTTGACTAACTGCAGCAGATTCAGACTGAAGTGATGGAAAGCACCACAGTGGATACTGGTTGAAAGACCTTCAGGTCAACTAGCTTGGAAAATGTAGGATATAGACTTTGAAGCATTATCTTATATGGCCCCAAAAGAAAGGCCTCAAGCCAGTGGTGGCAGTTAGAGGGAAAGTGATGTCGTCTCAAAATGAGGAGGTGACTCCAACAGTTAGAACTGATGGGACAGGCTGCTTCATGGTGGGGGTGGGATTTCTAAAAGGCTATGAAAACACTTAAGTTGGAGGTGCTTAAATGGATTCATGTATTGGCTGATACAGAGCATAGAAGATGCTCGATAGGTGGTGGTCATATATATAAATATATGAAGGGAGTGTAGGAGGGATGTGGAGTAGATAGTCTCTCAGTTCTGATTTAGCTCTAAGATTCTTCCAGTATCATTTACTAAAACAAAAATGATGGCCCAGAAAGTATAAGAAAAGACAAGGACTCTAGAAATCTGCATGACACCTCCCACATGTTTGTTTTCTTCTATAAATGCTGCCTGGTGCTCTCTTAGAATGTATTATAGGATAAATCAACCAAGCTTTCACTGAGAACTTTTGACAAGTTCAGCAGCTTGGCAGACACTGAAAGAAAGGGTCTTCCCATAGCATACCATACAAGAGGGTAACATTCTCGTATCTCTAACTGGCCTACCACATTCTGGGCTAAGCTAATCAGTGCAGAAACACAGTAATTGATTTCCTCTCTTAACCACAAAGTGCTGATTCCTGGCATTACACAATTAGAACCTGGATAATAGAAATGTGCAGAAGGAAACAATTTTCAGATAAAATAACATTATTCCTGGCAAAACAGGCACGCGTTGTTGAATTCTTACTGTGGTTGTTGGCGGAAAATAGTACTGAGTATTGGCAGGTGGAGCCTTCCACATTTCATTTCAAGTTAGGGGATAAAGCAAAAGTTATGATCTTATTTAGCAAACAAAATCAAATCAAAATGAATACCTCCTCATGCTTGTATCCATCAGAAAAACAAATATGTTAGAAGCAGAAAATTGTAGTTTTTGTTTTATTTATATGAAAGAGGGAGGGTAGATCAAGAGAAATAAATAGAAGAGAGAAAAAGAGAGATTTTGATGGGTCTTACTATGTTGTGAGAGACTTCGTTTTGCCTTCCAAGTAGCTGGGATGACATGCCCACTGTTTTAGGTTGGGATGAAAAGTGAACTGGGCCCCCCATGTGGCTCTAGACTCTGAATACTGGTGTCTAGGGTAATGAGCATGGTCTATGGCTGGGCTTTTTTTTTTTTTTTTTTTTTTAGCTTTAGTTAATTTTGAAAAAGTGCATCTCTAACTATTCTGCAGAAAGAACAAGAATATAGCAATAGCTCTTCCATGGAATTGACTCTTCATGAATAAACAGGCCCTTGTTTCTTTGCAGACATATTTCTGTTCATAACTCTGAGTGCTTAGGTATTCTATTTCCTATTTACTTATGCAGGAAACGTGTTTCAGCATAAATGTTTGCTGATTGTGGCTTTATTGAGTAGGCACTCATCTACCTTGCAGTCAATGGCTCAGGCACTGGGGCTGGCTGCAGCAGGCAGCTGTCCCTGGGAAGCCTGGGGTTGTGCTAAAGGAAAGAGATGGAGTGTACATACATTTAAATATTTCATAATTTCTGGGTATTTGCTACTATTCTTTCTGCCACAAAATTGATCAAGAAGCCAGAGGCCATACTTGTTCTGTATTCTCTCAATTTCACTGGATCTGCTTGCCCAAGTGATGTGAAGATTTTAGCATCAGGTTGCCCACTGGATCCAGGCACTCTCTGTGGATGGCCACTGATCTCGAGGAATTGCCCGTCCAGAAGGAATCCTTATTGGGAAATTCTTTGGGGTATACATTTGAGTTATTGATCATTTAACAACCCAGTGCTTCTTGTTTTGACAAATGTTCTTAGAACTTTACAGGATTAAGAACCCTCTCTCTGCAAGTTATTAGATGATTTGATTTACAGAATTAAGCTAGCTCTTGACACACAGCATGACAACTTGTGAATTAGAGAAAAAGTACATCTTTCAGGTTGGTAGAAACTACAAGCTATTAAGAAAGTGAGGTACCCAAAATGGAGGATGGGCATGGAATGGACTTCAGTCTCCTTTGGCCCCTTGACTATGAGTGTATTCTTGGGCAGGGTGCAACTTGCACAAGTACTCTGTACGAGCTTAGGTGAAACCGAGACTTTATTGTAAGAAACTTTTCAAAGTCCATACCCAAAATGATAACATGAAGAAAAAGTGATAACATGTTGCTAAGATTAGAATGTATTTTTTTTTTCATGTTTAAGTACTTTTATTAATAAAATACTGTTATTATCTTACATGATAATTTTAAATTATTTAATTGTCCATATTTATAGAGTATAAATGTGATTTTTTTGAGTTCATGAATATAAGGTATAGTGATCAAATCAGGGTAATTAGCATATCTGTCACCTTAAATATTTTTTGTTGCTTTGTGTTGGGATCATGGAAGATGCTTTTAAATAACATGGAAGACATAAACCACATTCTCTGTATTTAGAAATTAATGTATTTTAAATATATTTCATATCTGGAGTATTAGCCTCCCCCCCCGATATTAAATAATTCTTTGCGACTTTTTTCAGCATTTATTACCTATCACATGAAGGACTCCACTTTTCACGCCTGGACGGGACTGAACGATGTCAATTCAGAGCACACATTCCTTTGGACAGATGGGCGAGGAGTTCATTATACAAACTGGGGCAAAGGTTACCCTGGTGGAAGAAGAAGCAGTCTTTCCTATGAAGATGTAAATATCAGTTTCACGTCACCTCTGTGTACACTATCAGCTTGCTTACACTCATCATTCTATTGATTATTCTCCTTCGAAAAAAAATCTACTGGAACACTTCTTGTTCTGGTTCATTCTTGCAGATTTTAACTGTGCTTTTCATAGTGAGCCAACCCAGAGGGAAGGAGTATACATTTAGTTAGGAACTTTTGCCTCAGTAGGGTGATGGTACTGAGGGGTTAGGAAACCTAGCTCTATTCTCAGCCTGTTCTGTAGCAGGACAAACACTTGAACCTAGGGTTAACAACTTTCTTTGAATCCGCTCTCCCATATACCTTGCAGTTGTTTAGTATTTGGGGTGTAGATCTGGATGCTACTACTATTTCTAAAGATAACATCGTCCATGTAATCATCGTCATCATTACTGAGCTAGCATTTGATGAGTATCTATTAGGTCTCAAACACTGTGCCAAGTGCTTTTTTTGTTTTGTTTAAAGAATTATTTATTTATTATCATTATTTTTCAATTTTGACCAGAGAAAGAGATGAGAGAGAGAGAGAGAGAGTGAGTGAGAGAGAGCATGCTGCCAGGTCTGGGACTTGAACCTCAGCCATGTGGGAGCCCAGTGCCCTTAACCACCATGCCACCTACCAGCCCCTGTGCCAAGTGCTTTTGTACTTTAACCTAAGAGACAGAATTCTTTATTTTCCTACGTTTATCCTTATATCATTGAATGCTCTTCTGATTGATTCAAACATCATGCTAGGGATTATACAAAGCATGACTGGGACCAGCAGATGGCATAATGGTTACATCACTAAACTCCCATTTTAGTCAACCATAGTTCAAGTCCTGGACCCAGTGGCTTAAAACTCATGCCAGTTGCATTTGTGTGTGTGTCTAAGATCCCAAGAGAAGAATGAAGAGAAGGAATAATTTCTTGCTTTCTGTTTTTCTGTCTCTTCAGTGAGCACAGGCACCCTATAGCAAAAAACTCTCAAAAAATCTCTCATTAAAGTTTTTACTTTAATGCAGCTTATGTTTAGCCTACAAATCTTATACAATAAAGAAGATAGTAAAGAAGTGAAAGTGTAGAGTGACAGGGTCAGCTTGTCAGCACTGCAGAAGACAGGAAGTCACTGTGAGGTAGAGTAATTTAATTAGTGAGCACATATCTGTAGAGTCCTTTATACAAGGCATTGCCTTTGCATGACATGGTGGAGGGAGAGAATATGAGAATGAGTCAACTCTGAGTCTCTTTTCAAGAAGCTCAAAATATAATTGAGGAAATTTGTCAAGAAGATGAGTAAGGCTATATTATAATGAGCAAAAGAAGCTAAATCTTCAAGAAAAAGGCACAAGGTATATGTGAAATATGTGAAGAAAACTTTTCATATGTGTTTTGGAAACATGCTGTTTTTTAAATTTTATTTAACTTTATTTATTCATCCATTTATTTTAATTTGACTGGAGAGGGACAGAGTGAGAGCGGGAGAGAATGAGAGAGAGAGAGAGAGAGAGAGGGCAAGTAAGAATGCAAGCCACCAGGTTGGGGACTCGAACCACAGTTGGTCATGTGGGAGTCCAGCGCCCTTAACCACCATGCCACCTGCCGGCCCCCCCCCACCCCGTGCTGTTTTTAAATAGGTTTTCTGGATTAGAACAATGGCAGTATGCCAGGATGATGGAGGTAAGACTATCTATGAAGGCAGATGGGAGTGAGTGAAGAATCAAGTGTAGGAGTGAGGGTGTCTGATAGTTGAGGCTCTTGGGAAAAGGATACTGGGGATAAGAGGTCGACAAGATGACTGGAGCAGTTGCATCAGTCATGATTAGCTGCGGCTTAAGGAATGAGTTTATTTATTTTTTTAAATTTATTTTTCATTAATTAATTTATTTTTTACATTTTCCATAAACATCTACTTCACATATCAAAAAATTTTAGCTCATAATCCATAGTTCTTGATAGTTAATAAACAACTTTCAAAATTTAGAATACTGAATTTTAAAGATAATGTTCAAAATATTTCTTATAATTTTATATAATTTTGTTTGTGACTCTTTAACAACAGAGGCAGTATGGTTTTAAATATTTTTGAGAAAATATTTAATGTCAACTATTCAAATTGTTGAAAAGCAAATGCCCAGCACACTAGTCACACATAAACCTTCTCAATTCAGCCCTGCCTACCAGGTATTCTGTGATATGCCATCTGCTAGCAAAGATCAGTCTCTTTTTCTTCCTTTAAAGTCTTTCTCAAGATAATCCTCTGATGTGTGTTTATCTGAGAATGTTTTTATCCTTTCTTTCTATATGAAAGATAATCTTGCCGGGTATAGTATTCTTGGTTGAAACTGTTTTTCACTTAACATTTTGAATATATTTTCCCATTCTTTCCTTGCTCACATTGTTTCTGATGAGAGGCCTGAGGTTAGCCTGTTGAGATAACCTTTATAAGTAACCTGACGTTTCTCTCTTGCCAATGTTAGTATCTTGTCTTTGTAGATTTGGCCAGTCTGGCTATGATGTGCCTTGGAGAAGATCTTCTTGGGTTGATTCTATTAGGGGTCCTTTGTATTTCTTGAATCTAGATATTTGAATGCCTCTCTAGATTTGGAAAGTTTTCTTCAAGATTTCATGGAATAGATTATCAACACCCTTATTAGTTTCCTCACTCTCTGGGATACCAATTATCTGGATGTTTGGGTGCTTAATGTCTCATATTTCTCATACAGTATTCTCATTTTTTGGGGTTATTTTCTCAGTTTTTTTGATTGTTTTTTCTAGGTCAGAGGTTTTGCCTTCAACATCCGAGATTTGATTTTTTTGCATGGACTCATCTGCCTTTAATACTTTTGAGGGAGGTTTTGATTTCCTGAATGGCAGCATTCATCTGTAATAGTTCCATTTGATTCATTTTTATGGTGTGTATTTCCTCTTTCAGGTCATGGAAGAACTTCAACACCTCCTGAAACTCATTGTCTTTTTTCTCTTGCATCTTCTAGAGTTCATTATCTCTTAGCTCTTGCATCTTGTTTAATTTTGTCACTATGAATATTCTGAATTCTTTATCAGACATTTCCAAGAGTTCTACTGTACAGTCTGTGGACGATGAGGGATTGTTCTTTTCCCTTAGGGGAGAGATATTTTCTTGGTTTCTCATGTTTCTTGTGCCTCTGCAGTGGTTTCTGGTCATTCTGTGACAAAAATCTCTCCTCCACTTGTCTGAATATTTTGGACATCTACAATATGGAGTTTAGAACATAGCTTCCCTGAACAGGCCAGGACACACCTCAACTTCAAAATGGCTTCTTGTCTGAATCTTAAGGAGTGAGTTTAAATTGCTTCCTTCACATAACTCTTCACTTTAGTCACTTTTTAAAAACTCAAACTGTATGTAGTCATTTTACTTTTGTTGTCTTTTTTTTTTTCTTTCTTTCTTTTTTTTGGCGAGGTTTTCACTATAGGGCGCGTGCGCTTGCCGGAAAGCAAGAGAGAGAGAGAGACAGAAAGCAAGAAATCACCCCCAGGGGGGATGGCCATGCCGCAATCCCTTCTCCTCCATTCTCCTCTCGGGATCTTGGGTACACACGAACACGCGCCCAGAGTGAGGTTAAGCCGCCGAGTCCGGGACTCTAACCGCGGTTGACTATGTGGGAGTCCAGCGACGTAGCCATTATGTTAACTGCTGGGCCACTTTTGTTGTATCATTATTGGTATGTTATTACTGACTTAACCTTTCCTTTAATTTCTAAGTATTTTGGGGATTTCCAGCTGTGATATGTTTCTGTAGAGAAGACTGTCATTGGATGAAGTAGTCTATAGATGTCAATGAGATCCAGTTGATTGATAGTGCTGCTCAGTTCAACTGTGCCCTTACTGATGTTTCGCCAGCTAGATATGTCCATTTTTGATAGAGGAGTGTTGAAATACTTAATTCTGATTGTGGCTTATCTATTTCTCCTTGAAATATTGTTTCTTTCTTTTTCTTCCCTTTTTCTTTTCTTTCTTTTCTCTTTTTTCTTTTCTTTCCCCTCTTACTTTTTTCAGATTGGCCAGAGGACATGTGTGTTCACAGAGAAAGACAGAGTGAGAGAGAGAGCACTCCTTTCTTGAGCATGGTCATACTTTTTTCTCCATTTCTCCATCCTGTCAGGATTTTGGACACACAAGCATACATGCCTTTTGTGTTTTTCAAGCCTTAAGGATGGGAACTGAACCATTGCTGGCTGGGTGGAATCTGACTTCCTATACATTGTTCTTACCCACTGTGATACAAGGCCAGCCCTCTCCTGCAGGTCTATTCATTTTTGTCTTACGTATTTTGATGCTTAGTTGTTAAGTTTAAAATCATTAAGAATCATTATGCCATTTTGGAGAATTGTCTCCCTTATGAATGCCCCTCTTTATCTCTGACAACTTTCCTTGCTTTGAAGTCTACTTGGTCTGAAATTAATATAGCTATTCCAGAATTCTTTTGATTAGTGTTAGCGTGGTATATCTTTCTCTGTGCTTTTACTTTTAGTCTACCCATATCTTTATATCGAAAGTGAATTTTTTGTAGTTAACATATGAGCCTCTGTCTTTTAGTGATCATTAAGATTTAAAAAGATTGTTGACATAGTTGGTTTCATAGCTGTCCCATTTGTTGCTTTCTGTCCTTTTCATTTTTTATTTTTTTACCTTTTTTACTGTCATATTTGTTTTTTTTTACTTGTTTTATTTGTTCTTCATTTGCTTTTTGTTTCCCATTATTTTTTTGCCTTGTCTTGTTTTGCTTGAAGATTTTATATGATAATTTCTTTTTCTCCTCTCTTAGTATACCAATCATGTTTTAAACAAAATTTTAGGGCTAGCTATATAGCCTGGTGGTTAAAGCAGCTGTTTCCCACATAGCCAACTACACAGTTCAAATCCTGGTTTGGGTGGCTTAGAAACAAACGAACAAACAAACATACTGGGCATGTGTACATATGTACCAAAATCCTGACAGGGTAGAGAAATGAAGGAGATGGGATTGCAGTTGTGACCATGCGCGTCGGGAAGTGGTTTCTCCCTCTTCCTCTGACTCTTTCTCCCTGGAAAACTCATGTATCTTCTTGCAAAATTAAATATACATATATATATATAGAGATATATATATATATATGTATATATGTCTTTGCTAAGTGTTGATAGCTACTAATTACACTTCTGATAGCAGTTTCTCAGATCTGTGTACAAAGTTTATCTGAATCTATTATTTGATTTTCAATTTAGATAATGAGTTTTGATGTGAGGTATTTGCATGAACCGTGGTTACAGCTGGTCAGAAAGTAATGAGGGATTGAACACTGTATTAGGACAATCTTAAAATTGGGAAATTAGGAATAATGAGGGTTTTTTTGGTTGTTTATTAATGAGGTGATTTAAATCATTATTGATTTGTATTTGTTTTCTTTTTCTTTCTCCATAAATATGCAGGCCGATTGTGTTGTAATTATGGGAGGCAAGTCAAGGGAGGCAGGAAAATGGATGGACGACACCTGTGAGAGTAAGCGAGGCTATATATGCCAGATGCTTCCCGGTAAGTTCTACCACACATGGCCTGGCTGAGAGCACTGGGTTTTTAAATGTACTTTGAAAAATATGATCATGCTCTTGCAATGAACAGGTTTGTATGATTCCCACTTTAATCCATGGGATCCTGTGACAGAAAAAAGAATTATTTTTCCTATCTTCTTTTTCAAATTTACTTGCTTATTTCTCCAATGAGAGAAACAGAAAAAAAGAGAGAGGCAGAGAGAGAGGCACTCTTAACAAGGTCCTCATGCCGTGATCCACTCACAGCATCAGCCAGTCCAGACCACGAGCACGTGTGTGAGCACGCCCTATGCTCAGGAAGGCACCAGGATGTGAGCCTAGGACCTTTCCCACGTAGATCCAGTTGCATTACTATTGTACCACCACTGGGTCCCAAAAGAGTGATATTTGTATGCTTCCTTCTTGAGTCTGCTTCCTCATTCATTACCAGAAAACTGCAGATTAAACTGAATTTGAGGGCTGGCTCCACAACACAGTGGTTAAGTACTGTACATGGAGGCTGGATCCTACATGGCTGACCATAGTTCAAATCCTGGCTGTGGCAGCTTGGAAAACATGCCAGGTACTTAAAGTTAAATTTTTTCTGATTTTGTTAAAAAATTTTGGTTAGTCGCGTACTTGTACAAGTGTTTTCAATGTCAGGGTAGGACTATCTCAATTTGGAGCTACTGACACAAAGTGTCATATATGTCTCATTTGTTTTATACTCTGCACCTTTAAAAATAATAGATATTTGATTGCAGTTTATTTTTTCATCTTAGGAAACCTGAATTAGGTTAAAGAAAAATACAACAGAGTATGTGAATATTTATTATGAATCAAGATTATGGTTATACACATTTCAGTTTCTAGTGACAGGATTAAAAAATGTCTAGCTAGGGACCAGCAAGTGGCATGATAGTTAAGGCACTGGATCCCACATGGCAGACTCCATGGTTCGAGTCTCTGACCTGATAGCTTGAAAGACACACTGGGCATATGTGCATGTATGCCCAGAATCCTAAGAGGAGAATGGAAAATAATGGATTGTGGTGTAGCCATCCCTTTGAGGGTGATTTCTCATTTTCCCTCTCTTTCTTTCTTTCTCTCTCTGATGAATGCATGTGGCCTATGGCAAAAATCTTAAAAAAAAAAAAAAAAGTCTAGCCACACAAAAGGATCAGAAACAAAAAATAGATTAGAGTTGAGAGTGGAGGGTGGAGAGTTTTACTATCATCCTGAGTATAGCTCTGAGAGGATGAGTTTGATGGTATTTGTTCTCCCAGAATCAATAGATTTTTCTGTACTTTCTGGGGAATCAGGGAACTAATATCAACTCATGACAGTGACTGGAGACCACTAAGGGTTTTTCAGATGATTGCAAAGTACTGCAAAGACTCTTCCCTTCTCTTGATCCACACTTTGCCCAAACCCTGTACTTGTCTCTTCATAGTATTAGATTATCAGAGAAGACATGATGTGTTTTTCTATGCAAAATGTGTCATAACTTTTCTGATGACCCAATGTATTCCAAAGACCCAGAATCCTAGGCCACCATTAATGCCCAAGCATGCTAGCCCTGCCTCAGTTTTTTGGGCAAATGGGAAAACTCCCTCCAGGAGTTCTGATGATTCACAAGCTTATTTAGAATCCTCTTTTGCTTTTTTCTTCTTAACATAAATGATAGAATATTCTGCCACAAAGAAAGTTGTTTTGACGAAAGGTTCACAGTGTTAGGGGGATAGAGGTAGCATGTAAAATTTTACAAACTATAAATTATCAAAAAATACTACTAACTCCTTTTTAAAAACGAGAATAAAGAAGACTATAGAAGGGTGTCAAAATAAGAACAGTATTTGTTCAGAGCATGGGATTAAGAGTGACTGTTAGGGTCTGAGATATGGCTGACGGCATGGACCCACAACAAACTACAAACATGTAGAGGAGCCCCTGGATCTCATCAGGTTCAGCCTGGATGAGCAAATTTATGTGAAAATGAGAAATGATTGGGAACTTCGAGGCCGACTACATGCTTATAATCAGCATTTAAATATGATACTAGGAGATGTGGAAGAAACTGTAACTACTATAGAAATTGATGAAGAAACATATGAAGAGATAATAAATCAATGAAACAAAATATTCCAATGCTCTTTGTCCAGGGAGATGGTGTCAAATTAGTTGCCCCTCCATTGAGAGTAGGCTAAAACAAAGAATTTGTTCTGGATGGAAATATAGGAGACTTTGTATGGTTACCTCTTTAAGTGTGCAAGACCTTCAAAGGAGAAACACGCATACATTTTGATATGATCAGAGGATTTTTTCACCCCTAAATGAGCTGATTTATAGATAACTCAACTTCTTAGATGGATATCATTTTTGTTTTTCTCCAACTCTTCCAATAAATATGACTGTTAAGATGAAAAAGAGTAACTATTATAATTGCTGCATTTTTCAAAATTTCCACAAATATACACATTTATATGTACAAAAATTTAAAATAAGGAAATACTATTTGAAAGATATATAAGACATAGGTTTGCTTAATATTTAGAAAATGTTTTTAAAAGAATATATAATATTTTATAATATATATATATATATACACACATATAAAGAGGAAAAAGTTATCTACTACTTAACCACTTAGAAATAATCTCTCAATATTGCAATTTTTAAAATATTCTTTTCTATACATAAATCTTCCTATAAACAAGGAAATCAGACAAATGAGTTATTTCCTACTTGTAGATAGCCTTCCATGAAACTGTTTTATTTTTTTAAAGCTTTACCTGAAGCTTCATTTGTCACTTTCAATGGTCTGAAAATTTTCCAGTGGTGTTAAGCCAAGCTCAGATCTCCTCAACGTGTGAAATTATGAGATTGTTCAGTTCCATACTGGCCGCAGCATGTTTAAGATGCTGGCCCAGGTCTCTTGTTTAATGACCACTTACCAACACAAGATGGCAGCAGCAGCAGAAGAAAGGGAAAGCGTCGTCTCTTGATGAGATAAAGTCATTGCTTACTGGGCATGACTTCAAAAAGAAGTTGGCCCTTCCACAGTGCAGAACAGGCAGTTGGTGGACTGCGTTAGCATGAAGGGGAACATGTCAGAGAATTAGCCAAGACACAAACAGGTAGGAAAGTATATCTAGAACCTTAGACCCAGGGTTGGCAAATGTTCTATAAAAAAGCCAATTGTAAATGCTTCAGGTTGTATGCGTCAGATTGTCTGTGTTGCAATTGTGGTTATGGACAGTCGTAGACAGTAAGTAGAAATGAGTGTGGCTATGTCCAAAGCACTTTATTTATTTATTTATGGACATAAATCTGAATTTCTAATGACATTTATATGTCACAAAATATTATTCTTTGTGTGTGTGGTTGGTTATTTATTTATTTATTTATTTATTTATTTATTTATT